TCGGGCCTAGACCCTTCATGAAGGGTCTAGGCCCGAAACGTCAGCCTTCCTGCTCCTATGATGCTGCTTGGCCTGCTGTGTTCATCCAGCTCTTCACCTTGTTATCTCAAATTTTCCAGCATCTGCAGTTCCTATATCTCTAATGCAAATTTGAGCACTGTTTTCTGCTAATGTTTAAAGTAGACCCTATTATCTGTGAGGTTGGTTAGCTCAGTTGTTTAAATGATCAAAATATGATGTGGAATGATACCAATGATGAGGGTTCAGTTGTCATATTTGCTGTGGTAGATGTGGGAGACCTGCCTGCCCCACAATTGGTGCAGAATGCTATATCATTAATTGCCTCTCCTAACAGAGGAAACAACAACTTTGGTCCCTTATGGTTATAACTATAGGGCTGGTTATCACCATCCCTTGAACTAATGCTGCTAAAACCTTCTTCTGTGAAATAACTTGGCCCAATAGGTTTTATTAATGTTATCCAACAGGGCATTTGTAAATGTTATTGTCAGTACTTTTGGTTAAATAACCAGTTCTCCAGTCCATTTTTCTCCATCTGGAACAGTACAACTATCCTCCAGTCCTTGGGTATTATACAGCATATGTCACATTCTGAAAACCATCTCAAATATCCTTCTTGAGTTCCTTAATTAATTGTCATGGCTGTGAATATTTAATTCCTCAATGAAAGATTACGAAAGAACCTCTTTTCCATTATGTGTATTATAAACATTTTAGCTGAGGTTGGTTGGCTCGCCGAGCTGGTTTGTTGTTCCAGTTCGGTGTGTTTTCCCGCCTGGTTTCTAAACTCTAGGGTCCGTTGCGATGGATTGCCTCACTTCCAGGTTTCCTCTTTAGTGGAATATATAGGGGGTCGAGTTCAATGTGTTTATTAATAGCATGCTTCGTGGAGTGCCATGCTTCCAGGAATTCTCGTGCTTGTCTCGCAAGGCAAAGGACCCCAGAGTTTAAAAACCAGGCGGGAAAACACACCGACGCTTCATCAGAGGCTGCACTGAGGATGTTACCAAGCACGGTAGCGAAACGTCTGCGGAACAACAAACCAGCTCGGCGAGCCAACCAACCTCAACACCCACAACCCGAGCTACAGATCTACTCCAAAACCTTAGAAACCTTTTAGCCCACAGGACAGCAATTTGTGTAGCATCTTTGTGGAAATTACTTAAAAGAAGATAAAACTCTGTGTAGAGAACTGTGAAAAAAAATCATACTGTACAGAAGAAGGCAACTATGTCTGTGCAAGTTCTTTGAAAGAATTATTCATACGTTCGGAGTCTCTTGTTCTTTCCTTGTAGCTCTATGTATAATGCATTTTATAAATCAGTCAAGGGTCATGGCATCACTGGCTAGGCCAGCGTTTATTGCTCATTCCTAATTGCCTTTGAGAAGATGGCAGTGAGCTGCCTTCTTGAACCACTACAGTCATTGGGGTGTTGCCAAACCCAGAATGCTTAGGGAGTTCCAAGATTTTGACCAATAGTGATATATTTCGAAGTCGAGATGCTATATGGCCTCGTGGGGAACCTGTAAGTCATGGTATTCCAGGCATCAGCTGCCCTTGTCTTTCTAGGTAGTAGAGGTCATGGATTTGGAAGGTACTGTCAAAGTAATAAAGCTATTCTACTTTATGTTCCATAGTTTCTTGTTTTTGTCATTACTCTGTAACTAAATTTTGGATAATACATAAATATGGATGTTTTCATTAATCTGAGTTTGCTTACATAGTATACGTACACAGTCACAACTGTTGACTGGTTTGTGTGTAATGGAACCATTTAAATCTAGCTATTTACACACTCAGGTCAAATTCAAACAAATCTACAAGATCACAACACAAAGCATATTTTTAATCTTTTCATGGTCACTTCAGCAAACAACAGACTATTTTGAAGGATGAAACAGAAGTCTTTATAAGTCACATGACAACCACTTAAAGCACTTCCTACTGCATTCAATTTTTGAACAAAAGCTTCATTGGAAATGTTGGAAAAACAGTGTACAGAACAAGAAAAGGACAAACAACTTATATATGCAAATGCATGATCTTATAAATGCAAGGCACCTGAAGAGTCAGCACATCATTTCACAATCGATTTAATGGTTTAATATATGGATAACAAACAAATTACTTCACGTTAAAATCAGAGTGGTATTTTTACATACATACGTTGAAAAGCAAACAAGAAACCAAGAACTTAACACAGTTACACTGCAAAAGCAATTGATACTGTTTAAACACAGAAAATCCCCTACAAAGAATAGAATAGGAAATTATTTTTGGCACTTCATTTACAATTTCAAACAATAGGATTGTTATCTTTATATTCTTACATATTGATATTCTTCTGCTTTACAATCAGGTTTAATTGATAGTACTTCACATTGCTTTAGCAAGCTTCATTTAGTGAGGTAAATGTCCAAATGAAATATTTAGAATTCCTAAATTTAGCAATTTCTATCAATCTTGTAAAGATAAATACAGTTCTATCAAAATGTAATTTTAATACATAATAGATTGTGTAAAGCTCAGTATTCAACTACATTAAGTATTTCACACTCTTGTCCTTGGTTTCTGTTTGAAGACAACTAACATTCTAAACTTAAAGTAACAAATTTATTGACATAAAATCATTACCACAAAGTTCAGAAACAATTCACTTTTCAGAGATCTCAAAAACAACCTCCCCTTTCTTCCAACATATATTTCAATCCTGTTCCTCCCCCGAAAGAAAAATTTGCATTTCTTTAGCACCTTTTATGATCTCAGGGCAGCCTAAAGTGCTTTATAGCCAATGGTGTATTTTAGAAATGTGATTTACTGTCATAACGAAGGACATATAAAGTAAAATTTTCATGCAGCAAATTCCCTCAAACACCGGACAGCCCATAAACATATCATCAGGGTATCTTAAGCTGTACAAATGAAAACACTGCAAAAGCCAGAGGTCTGAAATAAAAAACAGCAAATACTAATATGGTCACCAGCTCTGGCATCTGTGGAGAGAGAAACTCAGTTAATATTTTATGTCAACAAACTTTCACCAGAATCAGAATCCAAAGAAGGGTTATCAACCTGAACCATTAACTTAGTTTCCCTCTGTATAGATGCTGCCTGGCCTACTGAGTATTCACAGCATTTTCGATTTCTGTTGGTTGAAAGATAAATATTAATTAATATACTGGGAAGAGATCCCCAGCTCTTCTTCGAGGACTGCTATAGAATATTGAACCATATCTTGAGAGAACAGAGAGGGTTTTGCTTTTACCGGTCATCCAAAAGCTGAAATGTCAGTCAGCGCAAGATTCCTGTGACACCACACTGAAGTGTCACAACATGGATGAATATGCTCCCATCTCTGCAACAGTACTTGAACCTACCACTTTCAGACTAACAGCCAAAAGCACAACTACTGTGTCAAGGCCAACAACTTACAGCCCACTGCTTCTGAGACTTCAGTGAGTTCTATTCACTGTAATTAATTTATTTAAGCTAATTAGCAATTTGTTACTTAAATTACTTCAGTAGTTTCTTATTTAATCCAGTTTGTCCAATATACATTGCAGTTATGTATTATAGATTACCATTCCATTGTACCATTCCACATTAGAACTGTGTTTGATACCACTGACCAAATCTGAAAAGGTTAAGAATATTTTCTGTAATGACACCTCAAATGCAAAGCTGAGGCTACCATAACCAAAAGGTACAAAAACCTCAGGAATCGAACACTTCTCAGACCTGGTAATGTACTTAATTCTTCAGCTATTTTTCGTAAGAATTTTAACACTAACACAGTACTCAACTAATGCATTTTATGTTGTAGAAAGTTTAATTTTAATCAGTGCCCTATATACATTATTAGATTCAGAATAAGGTGCACAGTGCCCATCAACCAGCTATATTCTTTTGAACAAAATTAATTGAGTACTTGAGAAGATTAACTCTGAAAATAATTAATGTTTGTTTATTGTGAGAGAATACTCAACATTGGAAAATATGCAAAAACAATAAAGAATATTGGAAGAATGGAGCATTTACATCAACTTGCATTTTAAGTATTTTTCAAATTTAGGTTGATTAAATTTATTTTTTAAAAAAATCATGGTCAGTTACATTGTACAGTTTTAGTTAATTCAAACTGACCATAAATATTTACCATACAAGAAAAATTGTAACATTTTATCTAACAGCATGTTTTACTAAATTATTTCTAGCAAGATTCTGGTTAATGGATCAAAGTTAGCATGTGGCAAATATTCTGGTAGGGCTCCATGAAACATGGCCTTTATTTGAAGTATTCATATAGTGTTACTCTTCCCAATGCAAAAAACAACTAGACTTTGTAGCTTCGTCCATTTTACATTCATACTTCTATACTGCAAAACCACATTGTAATGTGGTAATGAACATTTAAATATTCTCTAGTTAGCACAAGAGCTTTGTTATGCTTCAATTACATCAACCAAAGGGAAAAAGTGTAGATTTAATAAAAAACATACCTTTATATATCAGCTACCAGCTTCAGAGAGGGCAGTATTAAAATTGAGAAATTGCAAGATGTGATTTCAACCTGCTGCCTACGTGTCCTCTGTTGCTTCTACAACTGTCAGTTCTGAGCGGGCTTGGAGAGTTGAGAACTCTATTACTTAAATCAGGGTTCCATCGCAAAATTGGGTTAATTTAGTAAAGTTTTTGCTGATCAAGGTTGCTAGGGTTAAAAAAAATACAGCTAACTGTAGATCAAAATATCTGACTTAACAGTTCAGTCCTTTATTGAACACTACATAGCAGTCAAGGGAGTGCCTCAAGAAAACCTTTCAATTACGGTTTTTCCTTGCTGCTGTGATGTGCTGGCCTCCACTGACCTGTAACCCACAAGCCTCAATTTAAGGACTCCTCTCCCGCATTGTTAGACCCACAATCTCTTCCTCTCTCCTGCCAGACTGTTGGTCTAATTCTCACCTCCCTTTCCCAATTCCCGATATTTTCTTAACATCAGGTAGTGTCCCCTATGGTCCACAGCTGAATTCTGCCACTTGTCATGCAAGAAATAGAATTAAGCTCAATTCAATGGGACCTCCACTTGCCTGCATTTTGGCTTCCCCCTCTATCCTGCTAATTTACACTCAATTAATTCATTTTTTGAGCAGACTAGCAGTGGGAATATATGGAAGCAGTGAACAAAATATAGCTAACCTAATCTGTCTTTGTATTAGCTACCAACAAATAATGCCAACATATTTATTTGTTTAATCCGTTATGCTTGGTATAATTCAAATATAGAGATCAAACAAAAAACAAACACTAGAAATCTTAAATAAGATCAGTAAATGCTGGGAATACTTGGCAGGTCCAGCAGCATCTGTGGATGGAGAAACAGAGTTAATGCTTTAAGTTGAATAGGAGCATTCTTCAGAACTGACAGCAGGTAGAATTGTGATGGGTTTTAGGCCATTGAAGGGAGGGAAGGAGACAGAAGATCAAAAGGGAAGGACTGACGAAGAGGGTGACAGAGATTAAATGACAAAGATGTGGTGCAGCAAAAGGCACAGGGAATGATAATGAATCTAACAAAAAAAAAATTGTCCAAAGTGAGTTTAAATGCCAGAATAATGAACAGCCCTGTCTGAAATCAATAACATAAAAACAAAATTCACATTGACACATGGCAGAAGAATAAAGTTCATGGTCTGAAATTGCAGAACTCAATGCTGAGTGCAGAAATTCCTAAACAAAAAATGAGATGCTGTTCCTTGAGGTTCTACCGAGTTCCACTGGATCACTGCAGCAGGCCAAGGACAAATTCATGTGGAACAAGTGGTGAATTAAATGGTAAGCATTCATTTATGGAAGCTCAGGATCATGTTTATGGATCGAGTGCTCTGCAAAGCGGTCAGTCCAGTCTGAGATTGCTCCTGCCATTGTAAACTGCATTGTGAGAAGCAAACACAGTTGTCTGAACTGAAAGAAACAAGTAAGTTGCTGCTTCCCCTGGAAGGAGGGTTTGGGGCGTTAGATAGAGAGAAGATGTAAAAAAAAATAAGGCTTTGTACTTCCTGTGACTGCAAGACAAGTGCCTTGATTGTGGACCATTGTGCTGGAGGTAGCAAAAACAACAGAGGCTGATTTTTTTGATTCAAAAGCTGATGTGATTGGAATTGAAGACAAAGGGAATCCTGACATTGGTGTAGGAAGGAGAGGAAGAGGTGAGAGCAGAAAGACAGGAAATAGGCTGGACACAGATGAGGAGCCTGTCCAACACAGTGATGGGGAATGCACTGGAATGGATACATGTAATTTGGCAGTCCCTTAATAAGTAACATATTGATTCTTAGCAGGACAGTACTCAGGCTTTCTTCAATGTGTTGTTCCAGTCACAGATACATTTCAGATTAACTTACGCTTCCTTTGTCATTAGAGGAATACCATTCACTGATCCCACTGCATACAAAAAATGCCCAGAGTCTTGCTGATGTACTAATAAAAATACTGCACTCAGTTTCCAGTATCGTAACTGGTGCCTACATTTTTAAATAGACGTGAGAGTATAAGAAAAAAAGCAGTCAGCTTAAAGTTGCACTATTGTCAGATATGGTCATTATTCCCTAAATTTATGCCAATTATTAGATTAACATTTTTAGCAATAATTGATTTTCAGAAAAACAATCTTTATTCATCCATGGGACATGGACATCACTGGCTAGGCCCAGCCTTTATTGCCCATGCCTAATGGCCCATAGGGAAATTAAGAGTGAACCATGTTGTAATGGATCTGGAGTCACACGTACGTAATAGCTGCAGATTTCCACTCCTAGAGGGCCACATGGGTTTTTACAGCGATTGACATTGGTTACATGGCCATCACTACAATAGCTTTTTATTTCAGATTTTCACTGCATCCAAATTTCAACATCTACAGGGATTTGGACCTATGTCCTCAGAACACTAAACTGGGATTACTGGTCAAGTGACATTACTACCACACACTCCATCTGCCTAATGGCCCTTCTTTTGGTGACATCAGGGCTATAGCCAAGTACTTCACTGCTTTTTTAAATGCCCGAGCAAGCCATTCAGTTCAAGGATGCTTAAGGATGGCCTTGTCATAACATGCACATCCCATCAAAGAATTTTTAAAAAAAATAAGCTAATGAAACATGTCAGTGACTACTGCTGTTACAGTTATCCTAACTGTTTACGAATTACTACCTTGTTCTAGGATTTAATTTTGACTTTCACCATTTGAAAGCTAAATATCAGATGAAACTCGGAAACCAAAAGGCTTCATTATGAATGATCTTAAAAGTACATAATATTTTGCAGGCAAATTTTTTTTGCCAGCAAGAAATAGAACAAAAAGTTCATGTACATAAATATATCCAACAATAAAGACAGCAGGGCGTTCCTTCATTGATTTGTTTTCCATTTACCATTAGTCGCTGTATCGTATTCTGTAGAAGTATTCCTTAATTTCAGCATCACTGAAGACATCGTGCCCCTTGTTCAGACGTCTGACTGTGCTTAAAGAGATGGCTTCTTTGAGTTTTTGTTTGATAACCGTCAATGGTCCTTGTCTGCTTCCCACAGGCTGCCCTAACAGCAGTACATTGCAAGCATGTCTGCTACGTTCAAATAAGGCAGCTGAAACAAAACATATGATACCGTTTTATTTTGCTGTAAGGAACATTAATAATACCATGCCATCAAAATGACAATCAAGTAATAGCTGTCAATAGCAGACATGTGATAATTGCATTTCCTTTAAATTCATACATTTCTCCACCTTTTTGTCCTATTTTAGACGTTGAGATTCACTCAATTTATCAACCTATTTTTAAAGACTATTTTCTATGATGTATTACCAGCAGAATGTGGCTGACAGAAGGTATGAAGGTCATTTTAACATCACCAGTCTTCAGGAAAAGTGCAGATATCATTTTACAGTATTTCTCTCTAGGTGTCTCAAGGTTGGAACTACCCTCTACATTTCTGCAGACCAGGATTAAACTGTGGCAAAGCAAAGTAACTCTCGCTCTTTGTAAGGGTTATTTCAACAATCTTTAAGGATTTGGGCTGTGTAATGACAATACATTGCAACTGAGAGAAGAGTGGTGAGAGAAGTTGGGGAAAAATGATAAAATAAAGAAGCATGTTTTTGGGAGAGGGTGGTGGCAGAGGGGGGTAAACTAAAACTGTGTATACAGAAGTCTGTTCCACTTTCTAACTTGTATCATTGTAACTACAGAAGATATCTGGTATACATTGTATTTGGAACTTCGTCAGGAAGAAATTGAAGGCTTTGTTTTTCTTATGCCTATCAGAGCAAAATGCAATCTTAAAATGTCCTTCTTCAATTGAACTTCTAAATATCCTAAATTGCTGTTCAAGAATTCCCGTAAATTCACTTTCAAGGACGTTGGACTACACTGATGTGGACAATTCACAGCCCGAATGGACATACATGCCACATCCACTAACAAGGACTGAACAATATTCACGGGGTGATAACCAGAATTTATGTTGGTCCAGTCCTCGCACTGGCAAATTTCATGAACATCAGGTGAATGCAACATAATCATTGTTAGTCAGAAAATTCAATCGGGGCCTTCTTTTAAATGAGAAGTTTTCAATACTGTTCCTGCTAGTTCACAATTTCATCAAGAAGGAGAGTTTCACAATTGGCAGGTGCAATTCAATAATCAAATATCAAGTCCCACAGCAAAAAGAAAATGCATCAAACAGGTTTCAATTGAGATAACAGAAATCTGATGTTAGATTAACTGAAATGGAAGTAGTAAGATTGCTGAGCTCTACGATAGCTGGTGAAGATACAGTAGATTCACAGAGGATGTCAAAAAAATTTAAATTGTCAAAAAGTGAGAAGTGATTTGTTGAAACATCTATGATTAACAGGAAAACAGGTACTTGGGTTGCACTGATCATGAAATAATGTACAAGACACAAAATGTGATATTGAACCCGAACAGAGTAACAATTATTTGTACAATTCTTTGCCTTCATGGATACCGTATTAAGAAGGGCATTAGAACAGATGCAGAAGTTGGCAAGCTGATATTCGCTGCCACACATCTGGCCTACAAAGAGATAGGTAGAAGCAAGTTGTTCACAGTTGTAAAGAGGATTCTGACAGGCAAACACACTGATGTATAAAAGTTTTTTTTTTTAAGTGCATTGACAAGGTAAACAAGACAAACAGTTGTCATGACAGGGTATCAGAATGTTGAAATATTTCTGGACATATTCTATGTGCAATTATAACCTTTAAAAACAAAAGACTCCTACAGCCAAATGATAACTTTGGATATAAATTCACTGCCCACCTGACAGAGTTCCGTGTAGACCCATAGAATGACATGCCCAGCGGTCCCACTAATTTCTTTTTCTTCTGAACTGACCTCCAAGGTCCAAGTGCAGCAACAACTTCCGGAATTGGAAGTCAATGTTGCGTTGTGTGGAACTTTAGAGCAGCTATGTGGGTAGCCACACAACTTGGAGGGAATGTTGTCACACTTGTACAGAATCAGGAAACTTCAAACAGAAAGACCAAAAAGAAAGTGATAATGAGAGGCTGACTCCCTCCTAGCACGAAGCCATTTCGTGTAGGCATGTTTGTTTTTTGTCCTTCCAGGGATATATAAAAATGGGGTTAAAAAACTGACTTAAATCCTGGTCCACGTGTATTAATGGCCTGACTACTGTACTGTCAAGGTTACAGTTTAGAGGACAGCCATTAAACACCAATGCACTGCTGGAAAGAAAATACCACCAGCCAGCCACTGTCAAAACAAAACCAAGGCAAATAACTTTCAACCAACCTGCAGTACCAATGTCCACACAACCATAACCATCCGAATGGCCACAATATTCTACTGTCAGGCCTGCCCAGGATTGAAGCCGCATAAAATGACTAAGTCGTCCAAGGTTTTTGAAAGGATTTGTGGCTCGGGTTGTTGTTGCAGTTGTTGACTTGCTCGCTGAGCTGGGAAGTTTGTTCACAGACGTTTTGACACCATACTAGGTAACATCATCAGTCCGCCTCCGGTGAAGTGTTGGTGTTCTGTCCTGTTTGCTATTTATGTGTCTCGGTTTGCTGGGGTGGGTGGCATCACTTTCAGATTTGTTTCTTAGTGGTTAGTATATGGGGTCCAGCTCTACATGTTTGTTAATGGAGTTCCGGTTTGAGTGCTAGGCCTCCAAGAATTCTCGTGCGTGTCTTTTCTTGGATTGTCCTAGGATGGCTACATTGTCCCAGTCGAACTGTGTCCCTCTTTGTCCATGTGTATTGAAATGAGTGATAGTTAGTCATGTCTCTTGATAGCTTGTTGGTGCTCGTGAATCCTGATGGCTAGTTTCCTTCTGGTCTGCCCTATGTAATGGTTTTGGCGGTCTTTGCATGATATCTTGTAAATAATGTTGGTTCTGTTAGTTGTGGTTATCAGATCCTTTACTCTCGTCAGTAGCTATCATAGCATAGTTGTCGGTTTGTAGGCTACCATGATTCCTAGGGGGTGGAGCAATCTGGTGGTCATTTCAGATATGTCCTTGTATGGTAGGATGACTAGTGTCCTGAAAAGCATAGTCCACTGGTACCTACACAAAAGGTAGGCACAACACGTCCAGAGACACTAGTCACCCTACCATACATTAAGGACATATGTGAAATGACCACCAGATTACTCTGGCCCTAGGAATCATGGTGGCCCACAAACTGACAGCTACACTAGGCTAGCTACTGACGAGAATAAGGGATCCGACAACCACAACTAACAGAACCAACGTTATTTACAAGACACATGCAAAGACTGCCAAAAACATTACATAGGGCAAACCGGAAGGAAACTAGCCATCAGGATTCACGAGTACCAACTAGCAACCAAGCAACATGACCAACTAGCACTCATTTCAATACACATGGACAAAGAGGGCCACCAACTTGACTGAGACAATGTAGCCATCCTAGGACAAGCCAAGCAAAGACACGCATGAGAATTCCTGGTGGCCTGGCACTCAAACCAGAACTCCATTAACAAACATGTAGAGCTGGACACCATAAACCAACCACTAAGAAACAAATCCGAAAGTGATGCCACCCACCCCAGTAAACCGAGATGCACAAATAGTAAACGGGACAGAACACCGATGCTTCACCAGAGGCGCACTGATGATTTTACCTAATATGGTGTCGAAATGCCTGCGAGCAAGCTTATCAGCTCAGCGAGCAAGTCACCAACCGGATGACTAAGTGGTTCTCAGTTGACATAAAATGACTGAGGAAGATTTTTAGCTGAAACAGGAACTTGCACAGTCTGCTGTTTCAAACTATAAGTTGGAGAAATTAGATGCTTTCATAAAGGGACTGAGATAAAGCTAACACATAATGGCATATGTTATGCAAAAACAGATTGAGATGCTTGTATAGAGAACTATAGTCAAGTTATCTGTAGTAACATACGTGACGTAGCAAAGCATAGTCATGTATTAAATTCTATGGCAAAGTAATATAACAAAGTTGTAGTTATTGGAATGAGGTCAGCCAAATAGAAATAATAGAATACGAGTTCCCTGATTAGACTAGGTTAATGGCCCCAATCAGGGAGTCCTGGTTGACGAGATAAAACAGGAGTGTCAGGGGTTCTGTTCACTCTGGGAGCCAGCTCTGTGCCAGCCAGGTCAGTGTTATGTACTATGCATGTGTAAATAAAGGGTGACTTGGTAACAGGAGTTATTTCAAAAGTACAGCTACCTATCAAACATGAAAACGGAGTTTTAAACATAAAGCCATTTTGGGACATAATTGCATTCCTGTGAAAGTTCAGTCTAAGGTGGACTGAAGAGACTCCCTTTTATCAGCGAGGGAGCTAAAGCCTGGAATGTGGTTGAATAAAATGTATTGTAAAGGCCCAAGGACAATTGATAAGGGAGTCTGAAAAACATCATGATCAGCTGAAAGCTATCCGTGCACTTATCTCAAAGTCACATGATTAACTTGATTGGATGTGTAAGTAATCAATTAATAATATGATTGGTTTGTAACAGCCAAAGGCAGGTGAAAAGCAAGTGTATAAAAAATGTATGTTTCCTTTTGTTCAGTGCAGAAAACTCTGGACTGGTCAGAGGCTCTCTCCCTATCATATAAAACAATAAACTCTTTGATGCTGGACCTGCGTGTCAAGTGATTCACTTCACCATTCCATCCCAACACTACTATCTACTCTTCACCAACAACTCAGAGACTAACCTTTTTCTGTATATCTTTTCTCACTTCTTTCTTTTCTGTGGACTCACTTTTTATTCCTAGTCTGTCTGTATGTGCGTTATCTTTTTAAATTTTTCCTATGTTCAGTAACTAATAAACTCACTCTTTTGTTACCTTAAGCAAGTCTGGTTAAAATGATTTCTTTTAAAGCATACCTTTCTCCCAAATCAACAAAGTTATCCCGAGGGATGGGTCCCTTTTTAAATTAACCTTGTTACAACCAATCAAGGGGGTGAATGAATAAAGGAGGGGGAGCGAATAAAGAAAGAAGGGGAGCGAATTCCTGCCTCCTTGCTCAGGAGCTTCACAATTTGCGTGTGCAGTCTGGAATCATAACAAATTGAGAAATCTTGTCTGGGAACTGGTTGTAAACCTGTTCACCAGTTGCCCAGAAACAATAAGACAGAAATGAAACTCATAAGCAGGAAGGTAAATGAATATTAAAACAAATAAGTACAGATGCTGGAAATCTGAAACAAAAACAGAAATTGCTGCAGGAACTCAGCAGATCTAGCAGCATCAATATTTCAAATCTGGTGATCTTTCTTCGGAATTCCAGTTCTGAAAATGTTAGTTCTGCAAATGTTAGTTCTGCTATCTCTCCCCAGGTGCTGTCAGACCTGCTGAGATCCTCCAGCAATTTCCATTTTTGTTTAAGGCAAATGGATAGATTTAGACTCAATGTTTCATACGGGACAGTGCCTGTTTGTGCCAGAACAGAGTTGGTCAAATATGGGCAAATGTTAACGAGTTAGTATGGAGATGCAAAATATTTTGAGGAACGGAGATGTAATAGCTGGAGTTATAACTTCTCTCACTTGAGTGAAGTGGTTCTGTAAGGTAAAGGGTAACATTTATATGAACTAGGTTTCATATGCTGACTTGTATCAGTACCACTTATTGCTCTCAACTATCCTTTCTTCTACATATATAAAAACTTTGCTCAGACACTAATAAAGGCCCTGTGATTTGATAGTAATGTGGATCTTCACTGTAAATATTAATGGAATGAGATCAGGAACAGGAACTAGATTTATTCTTCTCTAATTTGAAGCACTGCAGGCAATGGTAGGATTCCTGCTGCTATTATGGCTGAATCTGTTCAATTGTTTTGATAACTGGACAGAACCTTTCAGTCTGTTATGCGTCAGCTATGCCTTTACCAATGCAGTTCTTGTGGGAACTGTCAAATCACTATACATTTGAGGACATACATTAACATTTTCATTAAGCAAAGATTACTAGTTTCATATCCAATTTATTCTTGGTCTTTACAAGTAGCCAAATGAAACAAACTATACTGTATTGAGTATCTGTTAAGGATGATAGTGAGTAATTTTATCCAATATATGGTGAAAAAACTTACTAGTAAAGGAAAGCACATTTTCAGTAGTGTTTTTTAGCTCCAGAATTATGTATGGATGTGATGGATGAACCATATAGAGATAATGTCTATTCTCAGTTAAATCTTCTGGCATCTGAATAATAAAAAAAAAATGATTAAAACATACTGTATCCATAAAATATTTTGAGAGAGAAAATAATAATATTCAAAAGAGGAGGTCAGACCAGGTGGCCCATTTGAAGGAAAACATCAGCACAGATCTGGAAGTTTCCTCCCTGCAGTAGGGGTGAAAAAGGAGGTGGACAGGTTTCCTGTTGAGGCTTAAGCCACGCCGTAGACTGGAGACAGGCTCTTAGCAGAAGCCGGTATGCTGAGGTCGCCCTTAAATCTCCCCTCTTCCAACAACACTGGTGCCACTGCACTTGCAGTACACTGCCTTATTTAGGAGCTCCTCTCCACGATGACAGTCATACAGCCTCGACACCACTCATATTATGCTGCAGGCTTGTTCATTCCCCACCCCATCTGATATTCTTAATTAGCTTAACTTTTTGCCTATTCTTCTGAAATTCAGAGGGTCATGGGGAGCTGCCTTCATGGACCGGCGCAGTCTACCTGGTCAAGGTAGACCCACAATTCCATTAAGGACGGAGTTTCAGAATTTTGACCTAGCGACATTGGGGCAATGACGATATATTTTCAAAGAAGCAGGAGGTGCCCACATGCAGCAAGACCTGGACAACATTCAGGCTTAGGCTGCTAAATGGCAAGTGACATTGACACTAGGCAAGTGCCGGGTAATGGCTATTCATACCAATAGAGGATCTGAGTATCTTGTCTCTTTCATTCAGTGGCACCACCATCACTGAGTCAGCCCCACACGACTGTCAACACCCTGCAGCAATACCATTGACAAGAAACTGAACTTGACTGGCCATATAAATACAATGGCAACAAGAGCAAGTCAGAGGCTGAGAATTCCTAACTGCATTGTGAGTGGACCAGCTCCTCAGTGGTTCAAGAAGTTGCCTCATCTTCTTCAGGGTAATTATAGATGGGTAATAAATGGCCTGATTGGTGACACTCACATCCTATGTACAAATAAATAGGCAGATCTTTCTTTTTCTTCTGTTCCATTACTTATATATTGTTCATTGCACATAGTATACTATTCACCACATCAGCACCTGGTAGTATTACTGACTCTACAAGTAATGCATCCAATAAAATAAAGTATTACCAATGGTAAACAAATATAGCACAAGAAATAAATTCTGATCTTAATAGCTATGCTACAATGAGAAATATCAAGCTGACTTGTTATTTCGGTCTCGATTTTTCAAGACTGCTCTAAACGAGGAACACTTTTTGCTAAAGGGTCAGACAGTAATTTATGCAGTAATGCTCTATGAATAATTCCAAGAATTAAAAACATACATTTGCCAACTATAAAACATCAGTTTTAACCTTTCACCAGCAGATTTGTATCTAGAAGTTTGAATGAAAATATTATGGGTAACTAAATGTGTCAATTTGTACCGTTCACATTAGCGCTCATTTAATCAGTCTTTGAATTTATTTTCTTACTTTAAAAAAAACACACTTTAGCAATAAATCCAAACATCACATAAACATTCCTTTTACTACTATCAAGTAACTGACTTACAGAGCCATTGGCTTGTGTTGGAAGTTCACCCCAGAAAAGGAAAGCTGTTTGGGATACAGTGTTGATGGAGGATGGTTTGGGACAGTTTTTTCTGCATATTAAATCCTCTTCCCATAGAATCTTGCCATTTTCACCATCAACAATAGTAACCTAGAGAACAAATCAGTATCAGATTTTTATGATTCCCAGCAAATCTGAGTTAAAGTGGTCTTACGTTGTGATAAAGCTGTACATCATTTGAAATTTGGTTTTTAAAGAAGAGGCAAAATAAATTTGTGGCTTCAGTTCTAGGAGGAAAATGTTTTATTTTAAAGAGGTCAGAAAGTCATTTGGAATAGTGAACTAAATATGTAATTTCCAGCAAGGCCAAAGGGTCTGTTTCCGTGCTGTATGACTCTATAATGCATTTGACTTGTGCTTAGCAGGCTACCTATTCATTGACAAAGTGTTTACAAAGTTGAACTTCTATGACATTTAGAAGAACAGACTATTTTCTTTTGAGTGCAGTTCAGAATCAGGTTTCAATTCAGTAGAATAATTTCACCCAGCAGAAAGGCAGGTTAGATTGTGAAGTCTCTGAACTGTGAGAGATCATGCAAAGGTTTTCAAGCTACCAAAGCTGAAATGAATCCATTTCATCAGAACTGGAATCATCATTCTGGGCCATCAAAATCGGACAGAGTCGATTAAGAAACTAAAGCGTTAAGATAGGAGAGCACTTCACTGGGATTGAGCGCGTATAAAGGATATTGCTTGGAAAAAGTTTGAAATTGTATTTTGCTGTTTATGCTAAGCTCTTTCTAAACTGCCTTTTCCCCCTTTTGCGTAATGAACTTGTGGTCTTTTGTTAAAGAACATTGGCAGCCTTTATGAATGCATTCTGGCATTGCCAGAGGTGGTGGTAGCAGCATTCAAGAAGTATTTATATGAAAACATGAATAGGAAGGGAATAGAGGATTACGGATCCTGTAAGTGAAGACAGTTTTCGCATGAAAGGGCAAAATGTGGCGGCACAGGCTTGGAGGACCGAAGGGCCTGTTCCTGTGCTGTATTGTTCTCTGTTCTTTACTTAACCACCACAGTAACCCATTGGAAAAATTAAATGTATGATCTATCAAACTAGATTTCACTACGGGATCTGACCTGTCCAGTACTACCACCAGATGGGACTAAAACAAGATTAATATTGAATTACTTACTTATACATTTTACTTAGGTGCTGTTTTCCAATGGGGTGCAATAGGTTCCTTTACTTTTCAGAAGAAAAATACAATTTTTCCCATCTAAAATTCATATTATCATCCATTTTTGTTCCTCTGACAGGAGAGAAGGTAAGCCCCCATCTGCTCCCAAGCCATGGCAACATGACTCAATCACGTTGAGTTGTGTCTCTATGGCTCAGTTGATCGTCATTCATATATTTCAATACAAGGAAAAACCTAGGACCTGTCCAGCCAACCCGTTGTATGGTCAATTAATATCAAACCATTTGGAGTTCCCGGTACAAGATAAAGCTTATTTTTAGACACTTTCTCAGACAATTCTAAATAAAGTAGCCCATTCATTCAAATAATTGGATTAAATGACATTGTATGGAGGTATTTGTGGCATCAAACCTTCTTTCTGTTCTTTTCAATGAAATCTTCAATTAGGAAATCAAACACATCATCAGCGTTGAAGTAACCAGACACTGGTGCTCTGAAATTGAAGTTACATTGTATATTTTTTAAAAATAATTTGTAATAAATGCTGCAGATTAAAATTGTTTCTAGTAAAACCAATCCATTTTCATTCAGTAAACCCAAGGAAGCTCAAATAAAAAATAATACGTAACAGCAACTGTATTATTTTCCCACAAAAAACATTTGGAAAAAGGTTTTGTTTTAGTGCATGAACTTCAGGCGTAATTTGAACGCATTTTTGAAAAATAGGTGCTCATTCAAAAGGTAGCTAAAACTCAAACAAACTAATAGTAGATGCTTTCTCAAAGACAGTAAACAAGAATGCGTTATTTATCAGTTTCAGCAATTAGTGAACATCTTCCATCCGCTGTGCTAGGCTCCCATTCAGGGCCACTGAAAAGTGGGTGACTGGCATAAATTACAATACGAATATAGGAATAAATGGACAGTCAGGCAAGTCTGTAATTGGAAAGCTGAAGGGTCAAACTTTCACCAGGATGAGGAGAAGAATGCTACCAGTTTGTTCAAATCAAACATAGTAACCACCAACAGAGTAATGGAAAACAGATTTGCATATTTAAGAAGAAATCTTACTTATATTATAATTATTGCTCTGCACATTAGCCCATTGTGAACTAAAGCAACTTAGCAATTTGGATGTGTTTATTTGTTCCTTTTTCGAAGAAATTGCAGGGGCAAGTGGGGGATGGTCCAAAAGTGGTGGCATAATGATATGTCACCGGACGAGTAACCCAGAGCTGAAACCAATGCTCTATGGCCAGGGGTTCAAATTGCACCATGGCAGCTGGTGGTATGTAAATATGATGAATCAAATCTGGAATTAACTTTAGGCTGGATATTACAATAGGTTAGGTACTTTGCTCACCACCTTCCCTTGAGTTCACCCAAAATTATAGGGAGAGCGATTGCCAAAATCAGCTGTCCATGGAAATGGGTAATTAAGGGTCAAGTGAGCTTGTTACCCTGCCTTTGCCATAACACAGTTGGTGTGGGTGAGAATAGGCAGGTTGTGTTCTTTTTTTAAGAAAAAGCTTTTTAAAGAGTGCGAAGGAAGATGGGTACTATCTTTGAAAGGTGGGCCCTCTGAATTGGCCCACTAAACCTTCAATTGCAAGGGCTAGTACTGTTGGGCCACAAACGCTAGCCTTACCAGCAATGCTCATATCCCACGGAAGAATTAAACCTGTGACCAGAAACATGGTAGAAGGTAAATTATATAGGACATCACCTTTGTCCTGTCCAACAATCCCATCTGGCTCAGATATCTGCCCACATTACATCATTGTATAAGCACATGTTTGGACAATACAACTAAATGTACAAAACTCTTACAGGGATCGACAGGGTAGAGTCAGGAAGGATGGTTCCCCTAGTTCTGGGACCTAGAACCTTGGGAAACAGTTTCAGGCCATTTAGGGCTGAGACATGGAGGAATATCTTTACCAAGCAAGTTCTAAATCTTTGGAATTCTCTATCCCAGAGGCTGTGGATTCTCAATCATTGAACCCATTCAACACAGAGATTGATAGATTCCTCAACATTAGTGCAGTAAAACGGGATTGCGGAATAAGATCAGACATGAACCAGCCAGATGAATGGTGGTGCAGACTCAAAGGGCTGAATCGCACATTCCTCCTATTTCCATTGTGAAATGAAGTTACTGTATGCAGAAAGTGCATGGTGCCCACTTAAATGAGACCAATGATTTTGAGGTGGGTAGGCCCTACCTACATTTTTAAACAGATTACTGACCCTAAGTATCTAGTAAATCTACAGAAAGAAGTAGTACTGCCTCAGCCATAGATATAACAACAATGTACCCTTGCATTTGAGATATATTATGGAGCCACTGTGTCTGCAGGTTTTGTCCATCCAAAAGCTCAACCCTGTCCTCAGTACTGATTAACAGTTTTCCAGCATTCTTTCCTTGTACATGGACTGCCTGAAGATACTTCGCTGTTCTGGAACTGCATGAGAGAAATAACAAGAGAAAAATATTATAAAAGATTAACAAATCAGACCATTATGTGCACTTTACACTATCCATGGATTTTATTAATCAATACCACCAAATTGTACAATGTGAAAATACATTAAGCAAGATTTTTGATATTTGTCAAATAAATGTTAATTTCTCCAAGAAACTCCAAGGTAACCAAATTGCTGATATAAATTGAAGGCTTCATTTTTTAAAGGTATGTAGTCATTTAATAGGAGAAACATACAGGCAAACTTACTTATGGATTTGAATCATTTTTGACGCTGGATCAGTCTTTTTCTCCCACTCAGAATCTGATTTGAGAACATCTGCGTTTAGTTTGTCTGCTGTAAGTGACATTCCAGTTGCTTGTAAATAAATATCTTTCAGTGCCACTCCTTGCACAGTTCCTGTAGTTTAGGAAAATAATTTCATTTACTATCTTTTCCATATTGAACCTGTATCTGTTTAGAAACTAAAGGTATGACAAAGAGTAAGGAGAAGAAGTCCATCTCTTTCAATGAGTCAGAACATGAGCTGTAATAAAAACAATTCAATATTGTTACTAATAAATTTCTCATATAAAAAAGCCATTCAGCCAAACCCATCACCATCCAAATATTCCTTCACATTTTTATCTTCTCATGCCAAGCACTTTAAACTCTAAAATCTTGCATAAACAATGAGCTGCTAAGGAAGGGGTTCCAGAATGCTGATTCTGCGTCTGCGAAGGAACCAAGATTCTATTCCAAGCCAGAAGGATATATGGTAGAAGTTGGGGATTTGGAAAGTGCTATCAAAAGAACCTTGAAGAGCTGCAGTGTATCTTGCAAATAGTACACACTGCTGCCACTTCACAATAATAGTGGAGGAAGTGAATATTTAAGTTGGTGGATGGGGTTCCGATCAAGTAGACTGATGGTGTTGAACTTGTTGACTGTTGTTCAAGCCCCACTCATCCAAGCATGTGGCGATTATTCCATTACACTCCTGACTTTGATGATGGAGAGGATTTGGGGAGTTAGGAGATGGATTGATCAACTCAGACTTCCCAACCTGGACCTACATGAAGCAGCATTGTGCTGACATAGCTGGTTCATTTCAGTTTCTAAGCAGTTATTCAATGATAACAACCATAACCCTATTTTGTAGGAAGTTGGTAGTGGTCGATTCACCAATGATCATGAACTGATTGTCAAGAGGAGATGGTTACATTCTGTCTTCTTGGAGATGGTCATTGCCTAACACTTGTGTAGTAGTAACATCCCGCAAAGAACAGTGACATAAATGGCCACATCATTAGTGTTAGTGATGACAGTTGAAGGAACATATTCACCAGGCCTTCAGGTCAACACCTTTCTTTAAATTCAGAGATATGAAGCTGACATGATATCTGAGATTATGCACTCTGGAGTGGGTTTGAACCCACAACTTATTATTAAAAATCATGATTGAGAATTAGTTGATTTTGTTGAGCTGCAAGTATTAAAAGAACTGAATGTAAAACAGTAAATACATTGGCTTTAAATCTTACAAAATTCCCTCAATTCTGGAAAGAACCAACTGCTTTGGGAAGTAACAAAAGTAACTCGTTTATTCAAGGAGGCAGATGGAAAGCAAGAAACTACAAGCAGTTTTGACCAAACAACTGTGATAGGAAAATGCTGAAATCTATTATTAAGGAGATTATAACAGGGCACTTCGGAGACCTTAATGCAATCAGGCAGAGTCAGCATGGTTTTGTGACATGAAAATATTTGACTATTTTATCAGAGTTTTTTGAAGAAGTAACATAGGAAAAAGGGAACTGGTGGTTGTACTGTACTTAGGGTTCCAAAAGGTATTTGATAAGGCATCACATCAAAGATTATTGCAAAAAATATGAATATGTGATGTTGGGGTCAACATTAGCATGGATAGAAGCAACTGAAACAGTGTTGTTTATTTAAGATGGAATAGCTTATAGAAGTAGGATGTTTTGCCACAGTTATAGAGAACATTGCTGAGGACACATTTGGAGTATTGTGTACAGTTTGGTTTCCTTATTTAAGAAAATATGTAAATATGTTAGAAACAGTTCACAAAAGGTTCACTTCATCAGTTCCTGGGAAGGAGACAGTTATCTCATGAGAAAAGGTTGGACAGCATGGACCTATAAACATTAGAGTCTAGGCGAATGAGAGATTCCTATATTTTTAAAGTGTGTTCCTTAGGTGTATTCTCTCCTACCAGGGGAAGCATCCTTTCAGCATTCAATCTGTTAATTCAATCTGTCAATCACGACATTTTCAATAACATCAGTAAGGAATTCAGAAGAAACTTCTTTACCAAAGAGTGGCCAGAATGTGAAACTCACTATCATAAGGAGTGGCTGAAGTGAGTAGATGTATTAAAGGGGAAGCAAGACAAGCTTATTTGGAGGAAGAAAGTGGAAGGATACAATGATAGATTTAGAAGAGAAGTGATGAGTGGAGTAACGGAATAAAAACACTTGATAGAATGGTTGGGTCAATTGGCCTGTTTCTGGCAAAGGAACATTGTACAGGTTACTGAACAGATTACAACAGTGTGCCTGGTTGTGGGCACTTCATATAATGGTGATACAATGATCTTGGAAAAGGATCTAGAGACCTAGAAAGCTACAAGAGTAATTTCAAAGCTTAAATAATCACAGTTGTAAAAATAGGCTCAAAGACCTTGGTCTCTTCACCTTTGAGTTGCAAAGACTTTGTGGGGTTGACCCAGTGAGAATTATAAAAAGAAGAGATAAATGTTGTACACTTCCTAATACAATTTATTTTTAAAGGTTTCACAAATTTCACAAACCGAACCTGCATTTCATTGTGCTATAGAAACTGGATGCATTTTGGCTGTTGTTGATTATCCCACACATCTTCACATGCTCAGTAATTTTATTGAGTAATGGATTTCAGGAAATTCCTCAACACTAATACTAAGCAAGTTGATTTATGCGCTACTCAGCATTCTTCTCTCTGTCCAAACAGAGATGTGACATTATTAACCATTCATCCCAGTACAATTTACATATTTATGAATGGCTAAAGCACTCATCTCTCACTTCAAAACCCCACGATGCAAATCAGCATCAACTTTAAAACTCTAATTTTCGTCAGAACCAATTCCTTTACCACAATTAAGAATTTTTCCCACATTCTTCTCTGGTTTGTCCACATTCTCACTTGCACTTTCAAAACTTACACAATAGTTAATACATCTTCTTTCCATCATCCTTTATAAATCAGATAACCTTACTTCATCCCCTTCCTTGAGCAGATGTATATTCTATAATTAGTTATTTAACTAGTAATATTTCTTATGAAACCTTTCCCTATTTCCTTTTCTATTATCGACAGGCCTTTTCATACACGATTACTCCATTTTAAGGAGTAAATACTTTCCAGGAAACCTCTATTTAAATTGAAGTAAGTTTTCTTTCTTTAAATCTATGTAATATCATGAGGTGAATTCCCAATACAAGATTTTATGGAACATAAACTTGCAAAATAAATGTAATATTTCAATGGGAATGTGGAAAAGAACCAAAGAGAACACTTTAGTTTCTGCTGTTTTAAAACTGTTACAAAATACAATATACAGTTTGCATGTTTTTTGCGAGCTTGCTTTCCCCATGTTAATTTGTTTCATCCACTAAAATGACTAGGCTGCCTGCATTTCACATCTACGGCCTTATGCTGTTCCATTACCTTCAATAAAGAGAATGTAATAGGCACCGGTGTTGGTGATGTGAATCAATGGGCTTAAAGATCCAAAGTTTTCAGTAACGTTGTGGTACACCTCTTGACCAATGGGATCTCCAATCCTTCCAGACAACAGTCGCAAAATTAACTTGCTGACAGAGCTAACCTGAAAGAAAATGTACAACTATACATTAAAACATACACCGTTTCAGTTTACAGTACCTTCCATAAGACAAAAATATTTAGTTGCTTGGAACTACTGTAATACAGACATAACAAATGCCTTACAATTTTGGGAACAGTCTGTTAGTTCAAGGGATAAAATGACCGCAATTGTTTTGCTTGAGACCTGATTATATGTTAATTGGTCAATCTCAGCAAGGGTTATGGGAGGTCTGTACTTCATCTTATATTCCTTAAGGACTGGATCAAGGACTCAGAGAAAGAAATGCCATGTTTCCCCATCCTTGTACCTAGCTGCTGACCAACATTGAAAGTGTTCACCATGAATCAGTTGATAACACCAGCGCCTGGAAGGTTCCTTGTCTGAGTTCCACTCCAACACATGAGTACAAACATCCAGGCTGACATTCCAATGCAGTATGAACAGAATGCTGCACTGTCAGTGGTAACAACTTTAGGATTAACTGTTAAACCATGCTCCAACCTGCCCGCTCACACAGATGTAAAAGTTCCCATGGCACCTTTTTGAAGGAAAGAGCAGGTAGGTTATCTCTGGCGTCTTGGCTAATATTAAACCTCAAGCAAATTGGCTGCCACGGTGCTTCCAGTATAATTGCAGTGACACTTCATGAGAGCACCAGATTAGCTGTAAAGCATCTTAGGGCACCCAGTGAAATACAAATATAAACCTTCCTTTTCCTTTCCAGGTATGGGCCTTTGTCTTAAACAACATATCAACAGTGTTATGAACATGAGCCAATGATCTCCAGAAAAAAACCTTTCAACCAGACCACAAAGCTCCTGGCTCCTCTGTTCTCTGTGCTGGTGTGTTCTAGGTTATGTGGACTTGAACAATTGCTTTATAATTATCAATTTTTATCAATCATGGGCCAACATTTACTGTTCTTATAAAGTGCTAAAGTACCATTTCCCATTCCATGTGCTGCTAAAGTAGCCTTTTTCCCTGTGCTCACAGAAAACTAACCTTTAGAAGCAGAAATTATGTACATAAAAATAATAGGATCTTTCCAAAGTTGTGCTGTGACCTGAAAGAGTAGTGAAGAGAAAAGAACAGGGGCTGAGAGAAAAAGTTGAGAGTGAGCGCTGAAAATGCATGTATCTGGACAGCAAGAGCTTGCAGGGAGTGAGAGAGTGCTGACTGGGGGAAGAGAGAGAGAGATCGAGAGAATGAGACAGTGCTCGCAGGCAGAGAGAGAAACAGAAAGCGGAGAGACAGAGCGCTCGCGCCGATCGGGGTGGGGGGTGGCAGAGAGAGCGCTCGCGCCGATTTGGGGCGGGGGGGAAGAACTCATACAGATTGTGGGTGGGGGGGGGGGCAGAGACAGAACTCATACAAATTGTGGGGGGGGGGGGGGGCAGAGAGAGAACTCATACAGATTGGCGGGGGAGGAGCAGGGAGAGAACTCACACAGATTGTGGGGGGGAGCAGAGAGAGAACTCATACCAATCGGGGAGGGGGAGGAAGAGACAGAGGTCGCACAGATCCGGTAGTGAGGGGGTAGCTCGCACAGATCAGGATTGGGGTGAGAGAGAGAGAGATCAAGGAAGAAAGACAAAGAAAGAAAGAAAGAAAGAGATGGAGAAAGGGAAAGCACATGCTTGCAACGAAGAGACAGACAGCACAGAGATGGTGGCTTTATTACTTATATTCAAGCCTCAGATTGGTAGGTTTGGTCTGCCAAATACAGGTTTACATCATAACACTGATCACCCATGGCAACATACCTAATTAGGACATTTCTGAAAGGAAGCAAAGGGTTTGACTGGGGAAATAGAAAATGAGAAAAAAAGTCACAAAAATAGAATCTAGAGATAAATCAGAGGAGCCATCATTTAATGGGTGTATTCCATACACTACCTTACATTGGAAGGAAAGTGGAAGAAAAGATTTTAGTAAGGTTAGGGAATGGAGTAAAAACATAATATTAATGACGGACTTCAACGACACTGATATTACTTGGTTGGCAAAGAGGAAAGCGAATGAAGTCCCTACGATGTGAATCGGACTCTTTTCAAATCCAATGAAGCCCAACAAAGGGAAAATGGGAAATGACTCAGTGTAAATAAGAGAAGTAAACATAATGTAATACACTTTAAGAAAGAGACAGACAGTTCACTGGTAACCATGTTAACAGATTAGAGAATAGCTGATTTTGAAGGGATAGAAAATAGTACACAGCAAAATAAAATGAGCAATGATAGTGGAAAACAACAAAGAATATAAACAGAAAGATCAAACTAAACACTTTATTGATGAAGACATAAAGGAAACAATTAAGTTGTTCGTATGATACATAATGAGGCATATTAAGGGAGTATACAAAGAGATTACGAAATTTATGTAAAAATTGTAAAGTCTAAGCAGAACCACAAAATT